ATAAAACCTACAAGTATAGATAAAGCCTTAGAAGATGAATACTAGATTCTAACAATACAAGAAGAACTGAACCAATTCACCAGAAATGATGTTTGGGAGTTAGTTAAGAGACCTAAAGAACAAAGTGTTGTTGGAACAAAATGAGTCTTCAAAAATAAGGTGAATTATTCAGGAACAATAATAAGAAATAAAGCCAGATTAGTAGCTAAGGGGTACAACCAGATTGACGGAATAGACTTTGAAGAAACCTTTGCCTCTGTTGCTAGACTAGAAGCCATAAGAGTGCTCTTAGCTTTTGCTTGTTTCAAGAACTTCAAACTATATCAAATGGATGTAAAGAGTGCTTTTTTGAACGGGGTAATTAAGGAAGATGTCTATGTTGAGCAACCCCTCGGATTTGTAAGTTCATAATTTCCGAACCATGTATTCAAATTAAAAAGGCACTTTATGGATTAAAGCAAGCACTTAGAGCATGGTACGAAAGACTTAGCTCATTCCTATTGGATAGAGGATTTGAAAAGGGTAGTGTAGATACTACACTCTTTTTATAAAAGATCAAAAATGAAATTCTCATCGTTCAAATTTATGTGGATGACATCTTATTTGGATCTTTAGATAAAAACTTGTGTGATGAATTCTCAAAAACTATGAGTAATGAGTTTGAAATGAGCATGATGGGAGAACTTACTTACTTTCTTGGCTTTAGTGTAAAACAAATAGATAACGGAACTTTTCTTAGTCAAACAAAGTACATTAAGGATATTTTGAAAAAATACGAAATGGATAGTGCTAAACCCATGAACACTCAAATGAGCTTAATAATTCAATTAGACAAAGATCATAGTGGAAAATTAGTAGATAAAAAAAATATAGAGGAATGATTGGATCCCTTCTTTACCTGACTCCCAGTAGACCGGACATAATGTTTAGTGTGTGCCTCTGTGCCTGTTTTTAAGCTGATCCTAAAGAGTCTCACTTAACTACGGTTAAGAGAATCCTTAGATATCTACTAGGCACCCTGAACTTAGGAATTTGGTATCATAGTCACAACACCTCCTTTGAAATTTTAGGGTACTCAGATTCTGATTTTGTAGGATGTAGGATAGATAGAAAAAGCACCTCTGGTACTTGCCAATTCATAGGACAATCATTAGTTTCTTGATCCAGTAGGAAGCAAAACTCTATAGCCCTTTCCACAGCCTAGGTAGAATATATTGCAGTAGGAAGTTGCGTTACACAAGTACTATGGTTAAAATAATAAATTCTTGATCTTGGCCTACCTGTATGAACCATCTCAATCATGTGTGACAATACAAGTGCAATTTGCATCTCTAAGAACCCAATTCAGCACTCTCGAACGAAACACATAGACATTATACATCATTTCATAAGAGATCATGTTGCTAAGGGAGATATAGAATTGCATCACATCACTATAGGAGATCACTTGGCTGACATATTCACAAAACCACTAGCATTCAACATATTTAGCACCTTGAGGACTAGATTAGTTGTCATAGACATTAATGCATAAAACACAAAAAAAATTCTTCTAAGGTTGTTCCTGATCATCACACATTCACTGCACAAAACCACAAAATTTGACATTTCATCATCGTATTGTACGATCATCTATCGTAATGTACGATATATCTAAATCTACACAACATAATCATAGGCAAATTTCGCCTCTGTTGATCGTACTGTACGATCTCCATCGTACTATAAGATACAGCTGGCTGGCATTCAATCTGTCTGGTACGACATTATTGCTCATCATAGGTACGATATCTCCTCTTCGTACTGTACGATCCACGTCAGCGAACAGATTGGGATGAATTAACTTGGTTGGTACGATATAATTGGTGTTCGTACTATACGATGCCTCCACTTCGTACTGTACGATCCACCTCAGCAAAACGGATGAGAACGAAGTAATGATGTCTGGTATGATATAATTATCGTTCATACTATATGATACACCTGTTCGTATAGTACAGCAAGAAACTTTTCATGAAAGGCCGTACCGACGATCCTCGGGACGATCGAAATCCTTCTGATCGTACTGTACGATACCCATCGTACTGTACGAAACACGATAGTACTGTATGATGTTGGAAAAATTCTATAAATTGCCTTACTTAGCAGATCTCTTCTCTCCAAACTCTTCACTCACATCTCTTCTTCTACTTGCCTTCCTCATCTTTTTTTGTTCTTTTGCTCTTGTTCTTATTGTTTTGTTTGTTATTTATTGTTGTGCTGTGTTATTCTTGGCTTTTGATTATGGATGGAGTTTTATTTAGCTGCAATTGTTCTTTAATGGGGTTCCTATTAATTGTGTTAGTTCTTGGTTTATTTTTTCTTTGGTGATTCTTGCTCTTCCTTCTGTCTGCTCAGATGGTTGGTATGGCCCTTGTAGTTTCTTCTTTGGGTTTTAATTCTATACTTCTTGCTGGCTTTGGATTGGTTCCTATGCTTATGTTTTAGATTTGTGTGCCTATTTTTGGGTTTCTGAGGTTATTTTTTGTTCCTAGCAGTGGGGGTTTTTCTTTTTATTCTACAAATTTGGATGTCATTTCTAGGGTTTTCTTAGATGCGTCTATTATCCTGTAGGTATTTATTTTTTATTTTGTTCTTATGCACTGTCATCAACCACACTTGAGCATTCATCTTGGCTTACTTATAGACTCACTTAGAGCCTACTCACTGCCATTTAGCTGGCCCAAAGAGAGTTTTCCATAGAGATTGACTTTATCTTCCACTAATGTAATAGGAGGAAACACATGCTTAGATTAGCTTGTAGCGTTATACGAGTATTTTATGTAGCTTGATAATTTTTTCTTTTTCTCTACATAGCTTTTCTTGTAGCCCTTAGAGTCCTATAAATAAGAGGTGACGATGAACAGTTAGAGGACCCCAAAATTTTCTTTAATATAAATTGTGTAATTTTAGTAATAATAAATCTAATGGGGGTATTGTGACTTTGGGCGATTAAGTCACCAATAAGTGTACACAATTTAAATATCTTGGGTCTATTATTCAGAGTGATGGTCAAATCGATGGGGGATATTATTAGTACAATTCAAGTTGGAGGGTTGAAGTGGAGGAATCCATCATGCTTTTTGTGTGATAGAAAAATATCCCTCAAACTTAAGGGAAAATTCTATAAGATGGTGGTAAGACCTACAATGCTTTATGGTGCAGAATGTTGACCATTACAAGAGAAGCATAATATTAAGTTAAGTGTTGCAGAGATGATGATGCTTAGGAGGTTGAGATGCTTTACTCTTAGAGACATGATACAAAATGAGCATATATGTGAAAAGGTTGGAGTAGCTCCAATGGAAGATAAGATTAGAGAGAGCCACCTTAAATGGTTTGGTCACGTAAAATGTTGGCCTTTTGGTGACCTGATTAGGAAAGTAGATGTCTTAGATTTGGATTATGTTAAGAAAGGAAAAGGTATACCTAAAAAGATTTGGTCAGAAAATATTAGAAATAACATTTATGTATTTTATTTAAAATGAGAATTTTACTCTTAAAATGACACAATGAAGGAAAAAAGATTCATGTTGGCAACCCCACATAGTGGGATAAAGGCTTGTTGTTGTTGTAGTGGATACTCTGTCAATTTAAGATCTACATCTTTTTTCCTTTGCTCTCTCTGTACTTTCCATTCTTACATACAGATTCTAACTAAATGGGTTAATTTTTAGTATAGTTGGGTATTATCTAAGTACAAATTTGGATTCAACAGTTATGAAGGTGGAATTTGCTTTTATCTTTTATTTTAGAAGAAATTATATTTGTTTTAGTAATACTTACAATTATAAATTTATAACTAAATTAATAATTTTTTTTTAAGTTGAAATTTACAATTAGAGTATAAAATAAGGCATAAAAAATATTTGACACACACACAGATTAAAAAAACTGAAAAAAATTTTAAAATACATTTGATTTTTCATAGATTAAAAAAACTGAAAAAAATTTAAATAGTTTATTTAAATATGGATTATATAACTATAATATATAAAATTATTAGCAAAATAATTATAAATTGTTAGAAATAATAATAAAAGTGATTTTATATTTGAACGACATAAGACAGCTTATGTAGTTAAATGAATAAAGACTGCTTGGGAAAAAAACTGTATTGTTTGGGATAGCTTTCTAAAAGTTTTATTTTTCAGATTATAATTATAATTTTTGTTTGACCTTTATTTTTTTATTATTTTTTATTTTTTTACTAGAAAGTTACTTTTTATAATAATTTAAAAAATTTATTTTCTTAAAAATGATTTTATAAAATAACAATAAAATTATTCCAAATGCGAGCTAAGGGCATCTCCAACCAAAAACTTCATTTTTCACGGCAAAGTAACGCAAAACTCCAAAATGGCGCGGTGATGCTCCAATCGAACGCCATTTTAGGTGTTTTTGAGAAGGTAACGATCGCCATCCCTTTCGCGCGTTTTTCCGATTGAGAGCAAAAAATGGCGTGAGTGAACAGTGCGACGCCAATATTGGCGTCGCACTGTTCATCCGCGATCAACTGGCGTAAAAAATGGCGATCGGTTGGAGCAAAACAAGAACGGCAAACAAGTGTTTGCCGTTCGGTTGGAGATGCCCTAAGAGCTGGCTTCTCCTTGATAGGGAAAAAAGAGTCCGTCATGGGAAAGAAAGAACATAATAATAATAATTCAACATGACATGGCATTAAGCCTAATTTTTTAGTTAATCATGCGAATCATCATATTTTTTGTCTAAGGGTGAGCTAGCATCCATAAATTAGAGTCTCATAACAATATAGTATTTTCAAGTTGAAATCAATCAGATACCTCATATTGATCTGTTGGTTGAAAGTTTTGACAATCAATCAAAAATTTTTAGGTTGAGTCTCAAATATGGGATGTATGTAAGAATTTTCTTAATTTAACTAAATGTAAAAAAAAAAAAAAAATTCAATCCAGTGACCGGGGTTTGCAAATACTGAAATAAACCGTTCAATGATTTCTCCGTCGCCGTCGCCTAGCTCCTGTCTGAATCTCCCTGTTATCCTTTCTTCCCTCTCTTGTTTCCCCTCTTTCGCGTTCTCAGGAAAGGTGCTGCTTACTTGGGAGAAGCTTTACATCCATTATCCGCTGTTGCCGAGAAAACTCCCTTTCCACCTCCTAAAACTTTTCAAAATCTACACCGGAGTTTGATTCCATGGAATTTCGATTGCTTCTTAGCCCTCATCATCTCCTCATTCTTATCCTCTATGTCACATCTTCATTCCAGTTCGGAAGTGCCACTGGCGTGTTGAGGGTTCAGCGCAAGTTCTCCGGCCAGCGGCAACTTATCACAGAACTTCGCGCCCATGACGTCCGCCGCCATGGCACGATTCTTATCGAAAACTCTAGGGGCACTGTTGATCTCCCACTTGGCGGTCTTGGCCTTCCTACGGCCACTGGGTAAAGCTTACGTGTAGATCCTGTTGGTTTTATGAAATTGGGTTGCGTCAAATCGGCGCAATTTCTTGGTCTATCTTTTTTGTCCTCTAAGTTCCTGTTTTTTGTTTCGATTACTTGTTGTGATGGAATGGGAAATAGGCTATACTATGCTCAAATTGGGCTTGGGACTCCTTCGAAAAACTACTATGCGCAAGTGGACACAGGGAGTGATATTCTTTGGTTGAATTGCATCACCTGTGGGCATTGTCCCAAGAAGAGCGACCTCGGGGTATTTTCTGTTTACCAACTTGTTGCGTTTTGTTTACGTGAGTTGGATATGTTAAAGATTCGATATTTGGTTGGAAAACTTGGATATTATTTCAATGCAGATAGAGCTGACTCTTTATGATCCCAAAGGTTCTTCAAGCGGAAGGTTAGTTTCTTGTGATGGAAGCTTCTGTTCATCCACATATGGAGGAGATGTTCCAGGATGCTTGTCTGATATGCCCTGCGAATACAAAGTGCAGTATGTTGATGGAAGCTCAACTTCAGGGTTCTTTGTAAATGACTATGTGCAGTACAATCAGGTTTCTGGTAATCACAAGACAACAACGGCCAATTCAACTGTTATATTTGGGTGAGTGATTTTTAAATTAGTATATTATATCCATTCTAAGTTAGGCTAAACTTCAAACCCTAATGTATATATTTTGATGCATTGTAGATATGTGTTTTAGATTTGTAGATTCCTGATGCTGGTGATTATATTAGTAATAGTGTTGGATCTAAATTTGTTCGTTGGTGACATCCTGATCCTACTTTGCAAGGCTAGTTAGGATGGCAGAGCAACGGGAGGAGAGATGGTCGAGTATGGGGGATTTGGAATTCTATTATTCTATGTGAATAATAAAAGGGCATGAATCCAAAAAATTTCTCCCAACTCCATTTTTTTAAGGTTGGGAAGGCTATTGGAGAGAGTTCACCTAAGGAATAATACAACAAATATATGATATGATTGCTAAAGACACATGTACAAGGCTTTGGGGATACACATGTATAGCTATCTCTTACATGGCCTTGGGGCACCTTTTGGCGAATGCCTTCGACAAGTGTCTCAGGTGAGTGCTTCAAGTGATTGGCTCTAATTTAGTTCAGGCTCCTCTGAGGCGAGTGCTTCTCTTTGCTTTTGCAACTTATCTAGATGTCAAGTCTGCTCACAAGGGTATGCAAAAAAGAATAGTTTAGCTAATTTAGAAGGAACAAGGAATTTATTTTTTTTATTTTGTCATGCGAGGGATGGGTGACATCCATATTTTTTATGTTTTGTACTTACTCTTTTTCCAGAACCAAAAAGATGAAAAATGAAGATGACCAGATATCAGTTTATTGTCTATTTAACTGCAAATTATATGCAAAGAACCATTAGAAGTACAATTAGGTCCACCTTACCCAACTGCAAAACTATTTATAAGCTGCTCTAGGTGAATGTTGCAATCTAGGCCAGCTCAAACATTGATAAATATGAGATAATTATGACTCATCAACTAGTTATTTAGATGGAGTATGCTCACATTTTAAACCACAATTTTCACATTATCTACTTTTGCAATGGGTAGGCTATATTATTTGTTTTTTATTTATAAGTTGAAGTCAGATTTAGGTAGCGATATGTTAATATATGGCTTTTTTGGTTTTTGGTAAATTTATTGATAGTTGCATGTTCCCTTAAAATTAAAAACCAATATTTTCTTCAAGCTTGACTGTTTGCATAAAGCAAACTACATCCAATGAAAGAAGTTGTAATATTTTGTTTCATTTTTTATTTAAATGCTAGGATACATATATGAACTAATAGTATCATCCAGTTAGAGCATCCATATTTGAGAGGGGAATCTGTTTTTTTTTTTGTTTCAGAATTAAGGTAGCCTTGAAATAACGCTGTTTTGACAGCGTCACTGTGGGCATCAAGCAAGTTCGTTAAAAATTGTAAGTTTATGATTCAAACACATCTGGGGTACATGCATCCATGGCTATTTAAAAAAGGGTGTTCTTCTAATCGGAAGTAATTCAATTTTAATTTAGTAGATGGTATTCTAAATGTCTCTTATGTGTCCTGGCACTCTTTCGTGGATTAAATGCAAAGATGAAACCTTTTATGTTCTTGGTATTTCCTCATTTTACACTGCTTAATAATGACGTTTTGAAGCAAAAAAAAAAAAAAAAAAAAAAAAAAAAAAAAAAAAAAAAAGAAAAAAAAAAGAAGAAAAGAAGAAGAAGAAGAAGACATCAACGATAAAAGAAAAAAAAGAAAAAAAAAAGAAAAAAAAAAGAAGAAAAGAAGAAGAAGAAGAAGACATCAACGATAATCTAAGTTGAACCATAAGAAATCAATTGCTTGGTCTTTTTGATTCATCACGTTTCATGATATGTAGAAATAAAAGTTGCAAGTTACATATTAACTTCCTAGAATATGGGTTATGTAACTTCATCATTGTGTAATCATGCCAATGAACAAAAGTGGCAGACATTTCTTAAATCTGGAGGTAGTCTCATATTTACTTCAGATATTATCAACAATTTGATTATGGATTTAATTTTTGCGAGACAGGTAGTGAAGCTTGCTTCAACATTCCACATTTCTGTCAATATTCTTTAGTTTCATTATTTAATGCTCTATTTCTGAATTTCTCAAGCCTATTCTTCTTTTTCTTGAAGATGCGGCGCTCAGCAATCAGGGGATCTAGGATCATCATCTGAAGCACTTGATGGTATTCTAGGTTTTGGGCAGTCAAATACATCCATGCTATCACAACTAGCTTCTGCTGGAAAAGTGAGGAAGATATTTGCTCATTGCTTAGACACTATAAATGGTGGTGGTATATTTGCCATAGGAAATGTGGTGCAACCAAAAGTGAATTCGACACCTATGGTGTCAGACACGTATGTTATTACTTGCCTGTCATCTCTTTTTTGATTAGTGAGGAGAGTTTTATCTTTTCATTTGTTTTCTATCCTGACATCATTTTTTTGTTCTAGAAATTTATTGGAAAACCATCTATGGTTACTGTTACAATCCTAGCCATTCACCCTAAAAGAAATCCCACAGCCACAAAACATGATCCGTGGGAAGCTCTCTCAATCCCGCCTGGAATTACTCTCCCGATGATTTCTTTCTAAAGAATAGTAGCCGAATTAGGAAGGATCATATTGAGGCAATTATGTATGAATTTGAAGGTATTTATTTCTTTGTTAAGACATCTTGTATAGATCTATAAATAGAGATAGTTGTATGCAATAAAATCAAGCTGTTCCCTCTTATTCCTCTCAAATCTGTGTTTGTAACATGGTATCATAGCCACAAAGGGAAGAGGGAACTGAGCGGGAAGAAGCCTTACCGAACGAAGCCTGAAGTCGGAGCCGGAAGTTGGCGGTCCTCCTCAAGGAAGAAGAAGGCGAAGCTTTGCTTTCGACGGAAGCCTCACAGAAGGAAGGAGCCGAAGAAGCCTCTTGCGAAGCAAGTAGTCCGATTCGACAGGAAGGGAAAGTCATCGAAGGAGCGTAGTCGAACAACCACGATGGAGCCGAAAAAGCCTCCTGCGAAGCGACGAAACCGATTCGAGAGAAAGGGAAACTCGACGAAGGAGCGTAGACGAACAACCACGAAGGAGTCGAAGAAGCCTCCTAGCCGAACACCCCGCTCGAGCCATTCGCAATCCCAAGCAGACATTCTGCTTACATAGCTAACCGGCCGATCCTTTTAAGGGTTGGACCTGTCATTTCGAAAAAAAAAAGTATCATCGACCTTTTTTGCTGTAACTAAAGATTGGAGGGATCTTTTTTGAGCATTCATGACTGTCCAAAATCAAATAGATAGTCATCATTACTATCATTTGACCCAAAAATGTCAGAAATTAATTCTTCTTCAAACACTGACCAATTTGAGGATTCTATGGTGCACCTAGGATGAGGTGACCTCCAAAGCATGCAACCTTCCTATCGACTAAATGAGAATAATTACTTAAAGTGGTTTCAATTTGCGGAGACCTACTTAAAAGAAAAAGGAAAAATACATTACCTCCTTGGAGGACCAAAAGGAGGAGATCGGAATTTTGGGGCATGGGATGAAGCAGACTCTATGATTATGTCATGGTTGTGAAATTCCATGACTCCAGAAATTAGCGACCCATTTATCTTCCTTTCCACTATAAAGAACATATGAGATGCTGTTAGACATACCTTCTTTAAAGCTCAGGATGCGGCTCAAATCTTTGATATTAAAGTCAAAATAGGAAGCACAAAGCAAGGGGAGCAAGAGCATGGAGTATGCCACCCTTCTACAAAATCTTTGGCAAGAACTTGATCACTACAGATGCACAGAAACCAGATGTTCGAAGGATGCTGCGATCGAAAGAACTTTATTGAAAAAATATGGAATTTATGGTTTTCTTACAAGACTAAATGCAGAATTTGATTAGGTTAGAGTCCAGATCCTTGGAAAAGAGGAGACGCCATCACTTAACGAAACTATTTCTCTCATCTGCGCGAAAGAAAGCTGACGAGGAGTAATGTTAAAACCAAAGGTCGTTGAAAGTTCAGCAATAGTAATGAACAAATAATTATCATAGAAGGAGAAAAGTAAGGATTTCTTAAAATTAAAAGACAAAGACTCACTTTGGTGCAGTTATTGCAAGAAGTTAAGACACACAAAGGAAATGAGCTGAAAAATACATAGAAAACCCCCTAATAATGAGTGGAATCAAAGAACTGAAACAAGGAGCGCGTCGCATGCCAACAATACTACAAGTCAGCCCACCCCAGAAGCACAGTCCAGCCTTGAAGAACTCAATAAAGAAGATATTGATAAACTGAAATGACTCTTGGTGTCTCTTAAGAAATCAAATGCATCTTCTTCACTTGCACTATCAGGTAAGTTTTCAATTTCTATTAGTTTAAGTGCATCTAGAAATCATTTAAAGGAATTATATATCATTGACTCAGGAGCCACTGATCATGTGACCCACTCACTTACCCACTTCATCAACTATACTCTTTATCCAAGGAACAAGAAAATCATTACTGCTGATGGTTCTCTTATCATGGTAGCAGGTCAAGGAGACATAACATTATCTCCCTCACTCACCTTAAAATATGTGCTCCACGTACCTCAATTATTCACAAACCTAATATCAATTCAAAAACTTATCAATGATTATAATTGTCAAGCTTTATTTAACCATACTTATTGCTTATTTCAGGACCAGAGATCAGGGAAAGAGATTGAACTTGCTAAGGAGAAATCTAGACCATACACCTGGAAGAACAAAATCAATCTAAAAATAATTGCTTTATGTTATCACTAGTTGATAAGAATTCCACTATTTGGCTTCATCATTATAGTTTATGACACCGATCTTTTAATGTCCTAAGACATATGTATCTATAACATTTTAAAAAATTTAGAAAATAAACATTTTCATTATGAAACTTGTGAGTTATCTAAACATAAAAGAACTTCCTTCCCAAATAAAAATGAGAGATGTAATAATCATTTCTATCTTATTCACAGTGATATATGGGGACCCTCCAAAATCCCCAATATCTCTGAGGTATGCTGGCTTGTATCATTCATTGATGATTGCACTAGAGTCTCTTGGATCTATCTCCTCAAAAATAAATCCGATGTAAGCACCATTCTTTCCATTTATCATATCATGATTCAAAATCAATTCGGGATAAAAATAAGGAGATTTTGCTCCAATAATGCTAAAGACTATTTCAACCAAACCCTTTCCCCCTACTTCCAAACTGAAGGGATTATCCATGAGTTCTCCTTCGTTCACATCCCACAATAAAATGGGGTTGCAGAGAGAAAAAATGGTCACCTTCTAGCCTCCACTCAAGCATTTCTATTCCACTACAATACGCCCAAATCCTATTGGGGGAAAGTCCTCATAATTGCAACTTATCTCATAAATTGACTACCTTCAACTGCCCTAGGACTCAAAACTCCAATGGAGATTTTGTCCTCATTTTACCCCGAGTTTCGAACCCATCATAACCTTACACCAAAAATCTTTGGGTGTACTGCCTATGTAATTCACAACTAAAATAGAGGAAAACTATATCCAAGAGCACTCAAATGCATATTTGTTGGATATTCAGCTACCAAAAAATGTTACAAGTGTTATCATCCACATATAAGAAAAACCCTTGCTTCTATTGATGTTACCTTTGATGAACATAATTCTTATTTTTAAAAGCTTCATCTTTAGGGGGAGATTGAACTTGAGGATGATGAGAAAAATGAACTAGCACCTCTTGACCTCCCTCCACCACCTCAAAAAAATTCACTTGAAAACTAGGATAGGGATATAAAAGACAAAGTTGTCATTAGATTTGGGAAGGTATACTCCATGCATATAAGTTCATATTGTGCTCAAAAGTAGATTCAAGAATCTGAACCATCTCCTGGAAATAAGGTTAGCTCACCACCTCCTTTGTACCCTATAACCAACTCTATATCCTTCAATTTCTCATTCTCACACAAAAATTTCATGGGTACACTAGAAGATATCCATATTCCTAAAGATATTTTTGAGGCTTTATCTGATGAAAATTAGAAAAATGCCAGGATAGATGAAATGCAAGCCCTAGAAAAGAACAATACATAGGAGATCATCAATCTACCGATAGGAAAAAAATCGATCAGCTGCATATGGGTGTTCTCCATAAATTACAAAGTTGATGGCACACTAAAAAGATACAAGACAAGGCTAGTGGCAAAATGGTACACTCTAACATATGGCATCAACTATCAAGAAATCTTTGCACATATAACCAAGATGAATATTGTCCGAATACTACTCTTACTAGCAGCCAAGTACAGATGGCATCTGAAACAATTGGATGTGAAAAATGCATTTCTGTATGGGGATTTGGAAGAAGAGATATTTATGAAATACCACTAGGGTTTAAGGAAAGATCTGAAGGTAATAGGGTGTACATATTAAAAAAGGCTCTATATGGGCTCAAACAATCACCAAGGGACTTGCTCGGAAGATTCTCAAAATTCATGCTTCTTAATGGGTATATGTTGATGATATTATCTTGACCAGAAATAACGAAGAAGAGAAAGTTAGTTTAAGGAAAAGTCTTACCAAAGGATTTGACATCAAAGAACTTGGTAGACTAAATTACTTTCTCGGAATTGAAGTAGCCCACTCCAACAAAGGAATTTTCATTTCACAACAGAAATACATTAAAAATCTTCTAAAAGAAACCGATAAATTAGCTTGTAAATCAGCACCAACACCAGTAACACAAAATCTTAAATTGGGGGAAGCAAAAGAAGATCTAGATGTAGATAAAGGGTCGTATCAGAAACTTGTAGGGAAATTGATCTACTTCTCTCACACCATACCAGATATAGTATTTGCTGTAAGCATGGTTAGTCAGTTTATGCAGAATCCAAAGTAGGCTCATGTGCAAGCGTTAGACAGGAGGATGCTACACTACCTTAAAGGAAATCCAGGGAAAGGGATTATCTTTAGAAGAGATCATGAAATAACTTTAGAAGCATACACGAATGCTGATTATGCGGGATCACCAGTAGATAAAAGATCTACCTTTGGATATTGTACATTTCTCGGAGGGAACCTAATTATATGGAGAAGCAAGAAACAAAATGTGGTGGCAAGATCTAGTGTGGAATCAGAATATAGAGCTATGACTTTGGGAATATGTGAGTTACTATGGATCAAGATGATTCTAGAAGATCTAAAGATCAAGTGGAATAATCCTATGAAGCTACATTGTGACAACAAGTCAGCAATCAGCATAGCCCACAATCCAGTCCAACACGACAGGACCAAGCATATAGAAGTGGACATACATTTCATTAAAGAAAAATTAGACAATGGTTTAATAGGTATTAATCATGT